CTCACCCTTTCCACTTCAAAGACTTTGTTGGGTCCATTATTAATGGGTGGGCTCTATCAAATTGGTATCAGAGCCAATCGATCCTCGGACATGCAGACGACGCGGCGGGAGAGGAACGGTCGGGAGAGGAGCACAAAGGGTGCGTAGCCGCCAGCGAACAAGAAGCCGCCAGTGCCGTGGTCGTCGCTGTCTAAAGGGGGCGGTATTGTTAGAGTCCCACATCGGAAATATGTGGGAACAATTGAGTCAATATAATACCATGGACACCCTCTCCCAATAAACTAGCTTTCGGGGTGAGTTCCTATGCACACAAGCCTGAAGCTGAAAAGAAACTCAAAAAGTTGGGAGTAGATGGAGCTGGAAATACAATTTATCAGAGGGGCTGTTCAACTGGCGTTGGTTTTGAAGGTATATAAACGAATCAAGTTCATGACCTGCAGAAGTAACCTGTCAGCAGTCAAATGCATGCTCTTTTAAAGTATTTTTTTAATAATATTTTTTATCTTCTTTATGTACTACTATTCATCTACAGGAAAGAGTTGTGTAAACTACGTCTGGTAACTTGAGAGGCAGACCAAAGTGGCACCTCAGAAAATCATATTTCCAGAGGATTAAAGAAAAACAAAAACAACCAGCCGTAAGCTGGACATTGACATACATTAGAACTTGAAGAAACCTGAGAGGTCCAATTAGAGAGTATTGCAGTCCAAGACCAATCTACATTTAGCGTATGCTGTTGTGGATGGATGCAATGGTTTTTCAGGTATGAGATGTTTCGGAACTTATCATCTTAACTTTCGCTGCATCATCTGGTCTCACCACAAAAAGCCAGTAGTTTATGTCAGTTGTTTTTTATGCAAACTATAAAACCTATGAGTATTAGTCAGCATGAGTTTGCGATTGTCACTTTTTCCTTAACCATCGTGTTAAGTTGGTAGTTATCTGAGGAGAACTGACGCAAGAGGAAGATTCCCGGCGTTACTTACGAGCTTGAACTGAGGGAAATGAACTTTAATCCCGGGAGCAGCAGCAGCAACTACTGATGGTAAATAAGACTGCAGAGGAAATCCATTTGGGATCAAGAACTGGTGTATGTATGGATGTGGCACATAAATAGGTGGAAAATAGGAACCGGAAGGAAAGAAGTAGGGAGGGTGTTGTTGCTTAAAAAGATGAATAGAGTGTTGAGAGGATGCAATGGCACTCTCATCGGTAGACATCGAGTATGGGATAGTTTGAGGCTTGGAATGTGCATTCTGCAATTCGAGAAAAGCCTCCTTGTCGTCCTTTCGAAACTTCGACAGGAGAATCAACTAGCTCAGCCCTTTGTCTTGTCTTGGGCCAAGGTTGACAAATCCTGGCTGGAAAAGAAATTCTTTAGCAAGGTCAAGGTGACATAACTGAGCCACAACAAGCAAATGGGATTTGTTAATACAAAAAGGAAAAACTCTCTTCTATGGTTTTGTCTCTCAAATCAGTATCAAGACAGAAGGTTGCTGAATCAATATCAAGACAGAAGCAGGTCAATAGCTAACTCAAAAAGTATACCATTCACCGACCTAGGAGGAGCCTCCTCAGGGACATGAATGTCATCATCTCCGTCCATGTTTGGACGGTCACCCTCAATAGAACCGTTGTTAGAAGAAGAGGTCTCCTCCGTGGAATTGCAATCAAAGCTCCCAGAAGTCAGGCCATTTCCCAATGCCTTGGGGACTTGTGGCCGTTCACCAAATATCCGACTCAAGAGGTAACTGGGTTTTAGAGACTGTTGGAACAAAAAGTGGAAAAAACGAAACATAAGCTACATGCCAAGCCCAATCATAGCCCGCAACTGAACTAAAAAACACAAGTAAACCGGTCCTAATAAAATTTGATTAAACCAATGATCAGTGACAGTGCGTCGCAGAAAGCAGCTATACAACTGACTGACCAATGCAATTCGACGTAACAGACAATGAAGGATCCTGCTTGTTCAAAGAAGATGATTTCACCTTGGCTGGCTGGTTGTCCACAACAGGCTTCAAATATACGCATGGTGTCTAGTAATTTAAAAAATAACAAGAGGGTTCTTTGTTAAAGCATTGGGAAATTGATAAAATATTTTGAAAAAAATGGGAATGGGAATGCTAAATGTTTAATATTTAAAGAAAATGACACAAGATAGAGAAAAATAAAAACAGTGGGCCTTTTTATTAGGGGTGGGCGTTTCGGGAAACGGTTCGGGTTCGAGACGGGAATAGATCGGTTCGATTCTTCCGGTTTTACAAAAATAGGTACCAATCGGTTTTTATATTGTATTCGGTTCGGTTCGGTTCTGGGTTTTATTAAAAAAAAGATATATTTTCTTTAAAAATATTCGGTTTTTTAGGATTTTTAAAGTTCGGTTCAGTTTCGGAAAAATTCGATTCTCTACAAATGATACCGTTTAAGAATTAAAAACGGTTTCAGATAAAAAAAAAATATCGTTTTTTCGATTCGGTTCGGTCTGCTTCCGAAGAACCGACGTCCACCCTGTTTTTTATGGCCGCCGAGTGAGTAAAGAACAGTGGGTTTGGGGCTTATTGATGTACCAGTTTTAGATTCCCACGCGCATGTTACACGCGTTATCTACACGCGCTTAAAATCCCTGGGCTATTAAGTATTAACCCCACATATTTGTTCAATTTTAAATTTTTGAGAATTTTACCGCGTGGGACTTCTCATACCTAAATCTTACTGACTGACTGTTATTTTTTGTTTTTTTTTAACCTCCGAGGCTGCCACCGCCATTTTCGGGTTTGTTCAAGATACCCAAATGGCCCGTCTTATTTATTCTCTCATTTCGGCCCGGCCCATTCGGTTTATTATTCCTCTCGCTTTTTTTTTTTAACCGAACAGTGGTGACAAGAAAAAAGTAACATATCATACGTAGTAAATATTTTTTGGTATTTAACAAACAAGATTAGGAGCGTAAAAAATAGTAGAAATGAAATTTAAATCAGACCTCTTCGTATATTTATAAATGTGTACATATTGATTTTCGAATGTTTCAGATGTCGTTAAAGTATCACAGGAAGAAAAAGGAACGCATATATATTATGTAAATTTTAATCGGATCTGTTTGATTTTAAGCAGAAAATAATTTAAAAATACAATATTCTAAAATGAATATGTAAATATGCGAATGATATGATGAGCATAATGTCGAATAATTAAAAAAAAAAAAACGGTTATCAATACAAAAATTAGAATCCAATTGAAATTTGGTTGAGTGATTTTGGATAAGAAGGGCAAAAGATATCTTTATTTTAAGTTATATGTTCGAATGATAGTTGGAAAGGAGAGGAAGTATATAATTTAATTATGACATATAGATTGTTTTGGAATATATAGCTGAGTCAAACTTTTAAATTAAAAAACAAAAGGTTATGAAATGGATAAAATGTTAGGAACAATGGAAACGAAGGGCCAGTTTTTGTTAATACGCAAAGAAAATGAGACACACTAAAACGGGCCTATTGGGCCCTCGAGAGGAAAAAAATGGATCAATTAGGCCCATCCTAAATCTGTCGGTTGATCGATGAGTGGGGCCGTTATGGCGGGTAATCAATGTGACAGTTTTAGATTCCCACGCGCATAATGCGCGAGTTATGGACACGCGCTCCAAGTCCCTGGATTTTGTTTAAAATGGCCAACTGGCACTGGCAGGCCGGCCCATTTGTTTATTTTTCCTCACGTTTTTTTTTTACAGAACGATATTAAAAAAAAAAAAATAGGAACATATCAACTAGTGATGAATATTTTTTTGGTCTTCAGCAGAGCCGAATTAGGAGTCGTAAAAAAGTAGAAACATAATTGAAATCGAATCTTTTCGTAGATTCATACAATTTATGTGCATTCTGCAATTCGAGAAAAGCCTCCTTGTCGTCCTTTCGAAACTTCGACAGGAGAATCAACTAGCTCAGCCCTTTGTCTTGTCTTGGGCCAAGGTTGACAAATCCTGGCTGGAAAAGAAATTCTTTAGCAAGGTCAAGGTGACATAACTGAGCCACAACAAGCAAATGGGATTTGTTAATACAAAAAGGAAAAACTCTCTTCTATGGTTTTGTCTCTCAAATCAGTATCAAGACAGAAGGTTGCTGAATCAATATCAAGACAGAAGCAGGTCAATAGCTAACTCAAAAAGTATACCATTCACCGACCTAGGAGGAGCCTCCTCAGGGACATGAATGTCATCATCTCCGTCCATGTTTGGACGGTCACCCTCAATAGAACCGTTGTTAGAAGAAGAGGTCTCCTCCGTGGAATTGCAATCAAAGCTCCCAGAAGTCAGGCCATTTCCCAATGCCTTGGGGACTTGTGGCCGTTCACCAAATATCCGACTCAAGAGGTAACTGGGTTTTAGAGACTGTTGGAACAAAAAGTGGAAAAAACGAAACATAAGCTACATGCCAAGCCCAATCATAGCCCGCAACTGAACTAAAAAACACAAGTAAACCGGTCCTAATAAAATTTGATTAAACCAATGATCAGTGACAGTGCGTCGCAGAAAGCAGCTATACAACTGACTGACCAATGCAATTCGACGTAACAGACAATGAAGGATCCTGCTTGTTCAAAGAAGATGATTTCACCTTGGCTGGCTGGTTGTCCACAACAGGCTTCAAATATACGCATGGTGTCTAGTAATTTAAAAAATAACAAGAGGGTTCTTTGTTAAAGCATTGGGAAATTGATAAAATATTTTGAAAAAAATGGGAATGGGAATGCTAAATGTTTAATATTTAAAGAAAATGACACAAGATAGAGAAAAATAAAAACAGTGGGCCTTTTTATTAGGGGTGGGCGTTTCGGGAAACGGTTCGGGTTCGAGACGGGAATAGATCGGTTCGATTCTTCCGGTTTTACAAAAATAGGTACCAATCGGTTTTTATATTGTATTCGGTTCGGTTCGGTTCTGGGTTTTATTAAAAAAAAGATATATTTTCTTTAAAAATATTCGGTTTTTTAGGATTTTTAAAGTTCGGTTCAGTTTCGGAAAAATTCGATTCTCTACAAATGATACCGTTTAAGAATTAAAAACGGTTTCAGATAAAAAAAAAATATCGTTTTTTCGATTCGGTTCGGTCTGCTTCCGAAGAACCGACGTCCACCCTGTTTTTTATGGCCGCCGAGTGAGTAAAGAACAGTGGGTTTGGGGCTTATTGATGTACCAGTTTTAGATTCCCACGCGCATGTTACACGCGTTATCTACACGCGCTTAAAATCCCTGGGCTATTAAGTATTAACCCCACATATTTGTTCAATTTTAAATTTTTGAGAATTTTACCGCGTGGGACTTCTCATACCTAAATCTTACTGACTGACTGTTATTTTTTGTTTTTTTTTAACCTCCGAGGCTGCCACCGCCATTTTCGGGTTTGTTCAAGATACCCAAATGGCCCGTCTTATTTATTCTCTCATTTCGGCCCGGCCCATTCGGTTTATTATTCCTCTCGCTTTTTTTTTTTAACCGAACAGTGGTGACAAGAAAAAAGTAACATATCATACGTAGTAAATATTTTTTGGTATTTAACAAACAAGATTAGGAGCGTAAAAAATAGTAGAAATGAAATTTAAATCAGACCTCTTCGTATATTTATAAATGTGTACATATTGATTTTCGAATGTTTCAGATGTCGTTAAAGTATCACAGGAAGAAAAAGGAACGCATATATATTATGTAAATTTTAATCGGATCTGTTTGATTTTAAGCAGAAAATAATTTAAAAATACAATATTCTAAAATGAATATGTAAATATGCGAATGATATGATGAGCATAATGTCGAATAATTAAAAAAAAAAAAACGGTTATCAATACAAAAATTAGAATCCAATTGAAATTTGGTTGAGTGATTTTGGATAAGAAGGGCAAAAGATATCTTTATTTTAAGTTATATGTTCGAATGATAGTTGGAAAGGAGAGGAAGTATATAATTTAATTATGACATATAGATTGTTTTGGAATATATAGCTGAGTCAAACTTTTAAATTAAAAAACAAAAGGTTATGAAATGGATAAAATGTTAGGAACAATGGAAACGAAGGGCCAGTTTTTGTTAATACGCAAAGAAAATGAGACACACTAAAACGGGCCTATTGGGCCCTCGAGAGGAAAAAAATGGATCAATTAGGCCCATCCTAAATCTGTCGGTTGATCGATGAGTGGGGCCGTTATGGCGGGTAATCAATGTGACAGTTTTAGATTCCCACGCGCATAATGCGCGAGTTATGGACACGCGCTCCAAGTCCCTGGATTTTGTTTAAAATGGCCAACTGGCACTGGCAGGCCGGCCCATTTGTTTATTTTTCCTCACGTTTTTTTTTTACAGAACGATATTAAAAAAAAAAAAATAGGAACATATCAACTAGTGATGAATATTTTTTTGGTCTTCAGCAGAGCCGAATTAGGAGTCGTAAAAAAGTAGAAACATAATTGAAATCGAATCTTTTCGTAGATTCATACAATTTATGTGCATTCTGCAATTCGAGAAAAGCCTCCTTGTCGTCCTTTCGAAACTTCGACAGGAGAATCAACTAGCTCAGCCCTTTGTCTTGTCTTGGGCCAAGGTTGACAAATCCTGGCTGGAAAAGAAATTCTTTAGCAAGGTCAAGGTGACATAACTGAGCCACAACAAGCAAATGGGATTTGTTAATACAAAAAGGAAAAACTCTCTTCTATGGTTTTGTCTCTCAAATCAGTATCAAGACAGAAGGTTGCTGAATCAATATCAAGACAGAAGCAGGTCAATAGCTAACTCAAAAAGTATACCATTCACCGACCTAGGAGGAGCCTCCTCAGGGACATGAATGTCATCATCTCCGTCCATGTTTGGACGGTCACCCTCAATAGAACCGTTGTTAGAAGAAGAGGTCTCCTCCGTGGAATTGCAATCAAAGCTCCCAGAAGTCAGGCCATTTCCCAATGCCTTGGGGACTTGTGGCCGTTCACCAAATATCCGACTCAAGAGGTAACTGGGTTTTAGAGACTGTTGGAACAAAAAGTGGAAAAAACGAAACATAAGCTACATGCCAAGCCCAATCATAGCCCGCAACTGAACTAAAAAACACAAGTAAACCGGTCCTAATAAAATTTGATTAAACCAATGATCAGTGACAGTGCGTCGCAGAAAGCAGCTATACAACTGACTGACCAATGCAATTCGACGTAACAGACAATGAAGGATCCTGCTTGTTCAAAGAAGATGATTTCACCTTGGCTGGCTGGTTGTCCACAACAGGCTTCAAATATACGCATGGTGTCTAGTAATTTAAAAAATAACAAGAGGGTTCTTTGTTAAAGCATTGGGAAATTGATAAAATATTTTGAAAAAAATGGGAATGGGAATGCTAAATGTTTAATATTTAAAGAAAATGACACAAGATAGAGAAAAATAAAAACAGTGGGCCTTTTTATTAGGGGTGGGCGTTTCGGGAAACGGTTCGGGTTCGAGACGGGAATAGATCGGTTCGATTCTTCCGGTTTTACAAAAATAGGTACCAATCGGTTTTTATATTGTATTCGGTTCGGTTCGGTTCTGGGTTTTATTAAAAAAAAGATATATTTTCTTTAAAAATATTCGGTTTTTTAGGATTTTTAAAGTTCGGTTCAGTTTCGGAAAAATTCGATTCTCTACAAATGATACCGTTTAAGAATTAAAAACGGTTTCAGATAAAAAAAAAATATCGTTTTCCAAAAGCAATCATACATGGGGGTGGTAGTAGCCACAATCAAAGCAAAGGTTAGTTTTGCTTGTCCGATGACAGATATGAGAAATGGAAAGATGAATGTGATTACACTTGCTAGAGGCCGAAACCTTTCCATTGTGAAGAACAATAAAATACAAATATTTGGTCTTTGATGTGAATCTTTTTTCTTTTTCCCTTCAGCCGCCGAAAAGAAACCCGGCGGCTTGATCTTCGTTCCCATTAAACAATCTCAGAGCTTGTATCACTGCTTCACGACCAAACCCCAACTCCATCAGCTTTGAAACCTTGCCTTCAAAATCAGCTCCCTGTCGGAATGCAATGGTGGAGTTATGTCATGGTGAGATTATAGAGATCAAATCAAACCAGGACAGCTAACAAGAGGTGTAACTGAAGCACACAGCTTTTGGAGATAGGCTTACCTGTGAAGTACTGTGCTCTGTGGCTCCTGAGAACAGCAATCAATCATAGTTAGAAGCAAAGAATTCAGAACTCGATTGAAGGTTTTCTTGATTTAAGGGCTTGAAATGAGGAGATTCAACAAAGTGGTTCAGATACTGGTCGAGAGAGTTAAAGTCTTTCAAATTGAACTGAAACCCTACCAAAGGAATGTTACCAGATTCTAAAATCTGACCTGAAGGTTGACTTGCTGGGGTCGCATCGGTATTTTTCTTCTGTGTTAATCCTGACGATACCTAAAAGAATTTGATGGTAAAATTATTGCAGATGGTAGATATCCACTAAGTTGCTTCACAATCACATTGTTAAACTTGGACTTGCTCGCTAGTGCAATTTCTTGCTTCAACCAAGATCTCATCAGCTGATGCTGAACATCCATTAAAGAGAGAGTAGCTTACAGTTGCTCCTGAGCTAGACGCTTCATTCAAAAGACGTTCTTCATCCAGAAATCGAGAAGGGATGTCTTTCTCTGAAAAAAAAAACCCCACCCACATAATGTTATCATGTTGGTTTTCAATTACACAGATAGATATACAAACAACGTTAAGAACATCCAAGTCAAAATTTGCAGAACGAGAGGGTAAAATAACCTTGCAAAAAGGGAACTGAAACTTCCCCTCCTCCAACTTTCAAGACATTATCCTTCAAATCAATGGTGCACTACAAAAGGAAAAAGACAAGTATTTTGGTAGAAACGGCTCAAATTACTGCAGTCAAATTTATTGAGCGACAGATGTACAGCACAACGCGTTGCGATTAGCGATGTTACCTGATGCTTACGAAGCATATCCAGGCCAAAGAGGAATTCCATGTTTGGCGAGTCCAGCACCACAAATGAGCATGGGTAAAAATTATTCCCAATCTACATGGAAGGATACTTTACTTCCTCTTGTGAACCATAATGAAACAGTAATAAATGGGCAAACAAAAAATAGAAAGTAACTAGTTCCGATGAGAGATAGTAAGCAAATGCAGGTATTAACCTTTATCGGAGCAACATGAATGCGGCCCAGTATCTCTGATTGACCAACACCATGAGCAATACCTTTATAACGTTGATCCAAGAGTCTCAGCAATCTGAAAGCATTCCATGAATAGGTTGCAAAAGAAGTTCCACAACAACTCAATTCTTGACAACATAACCGGAAAAAAAAATTACTAATCAAAAGCCACAGTTACCCGCATTTCTCAGCACAACTCTTGGATATAATTGTTGATTGTGCACCACTATCAACAAAAGCCTGAAGCAGAAATGGTGTTGTAAACGTGTTTTTAAATATTCTTGGTCAAAGAATCAGTAACACAACAGACTTTATTCAAGAGCGAAAAGATAAAAACGATTATGTTTTTACTTCGATAAGAGAGGCAATAAGTTAATGAAGGGAGATCAAACTAGTAAACTGAATACAGGTTTTATTTTGGTTTCTATATTTGTTACCTTTAAAGGTATGCCATTAACCTCCATATCCACATACAGCATTACCTGGAGAGATGGAAAAGAAACTATCATTTTCATGCGAAAGAAGTTTACAGGATTGCAGAATCATGTACTTGATACATACCACCCGAGCGAAACCTTCTGGATTATACTCAAGCGCAGCTGCCCAGTTCTCATCAATTCCTTTCTGAGTGTGATATCAAGACAACAAGGATAAGTCAGAAATGACACAACAAGATCATTGGACACTGGACAGATAGGAATAGGACAATAAGCTAGGATAAAAGAGGAATTATATCAGAAAATTAATTAAAAAAAGCATTAAGAGCCCAGTATAAGCAACGTTACAAAGGAATTGTAGTATTCCAGAACAAGTGCTGCATGTCGAGGTAATAACAAAAATGCCAAAAAAAAAATCAATTACCTGCCGTATTGCAGCTTCGATTTTCCGTTGTGCTTCTACATTAAAAGGATCCGCATAAAGAAGGGCCTGCAGTGCCACAGAAAATGCAAGTGTAAGTGCTAAGCTTCCATTGTAATAGCGGAACTATATCTCAACATCCAAAGCTCAGCAAACTGAAAGGCTAGAGACTCCCTCCAAGCCAAATTTAACTGAAGTTTTGAAAATCTTACAAGCTCCTCCTCCTTCTGACGTTGTAATTCAGATCTCTGGCGATGCCTTGAACGCAAAATATCTTGCAACTTGTGTAAATTGTTGCCAGAAATAGCTTGTGAAAGGTCAGGATCGGTCTGCAGTTTACATTATCAGAGGAAAAAAACAAAATAAAAAAACATAGACCAAAATACTAAACAATTTATTGGTTTCACCATGGCAGCACAGTTATCTCCAGACATGCTCTAAGGCTCTAAGGAACAATACGAAAAACAAAAGGCACAAGGAACAAAAGATATGATAAACCAACCGACAGTGTTCTTTATAATATTAATTTGCAGTCAAGCTTCTGTACAAAAAACGAACTTTTTCACTGAAAAAAACCTGAACCAGGAAAACATATCACAGTTAAAGCCAAAATCTTGGAACAGTCAAGGTACCTGAAGTAGCTGTGCCATAAGACCAGAATCGCGTTGAAGATGTTGCTGGAAAGCTGCAGGGTTAACAGCTGACCCATCGGGGTTCAAGCGTAAGTCATTTCCAGCCGCGCTGAGGGAGCAGCAGAGAAGACAATTGTTGAAAACTAAATTTAACAAATTCACAAGACCTAAGTGTAGATACTGTGAAAAAGTTTTACTTATAAAACCCCAAAGAGAAAGAAGCAAGACGGCAATTAAACAACTTACCCAGATGAGGCACTGGAAATCATCATCAATAAATCCTCGTCCTTAACACCCAAGGCACTCAATTTCTCAGAATTTCGAGTTTCCTTACCATTAAACAACAGCTGTTGCTGCTGAAGCGGAACATTTGTCTGCTCATTGATGCAAAAACACAAAGTCACCACAAAATAGTACATAAGATGCTAGATAAACCCCCAAAACCCTAAACCCCCCACAGTAGATTTCAGTAGAATTCAACTCAAATTCAGCTCCAGCATACTTTGACTCGGCACCAAACTAAAGAATTCGAACAAAAATCTCGAGAAGAGTGATACGGAATCCCTTACCTCAACCTCGAGCAGCGCCTTAACATTTTCAACCTAAGCCAAGAAATCCCCAGAATCAGCACAAAGAGAAGACATGGAAACATCGACAAATCGGAGAGAATGGTGAAATCAGACAATCCTCATCGAACAACTCGAGAGGTACATTGTGATTACGAACCGAAGTCAGGAAAACTAGGGTTATGTCAGAAGAAATCTTACAGTCTCATGGGGATCAACATCTAATGAGATGATCTGTTCATCGACCGTCATTACAGCGATCCTCATCTTCTATTCGTCTTTCCGATCTCCTCAGTCGTCCTGCTATGGTCAGGAATCTCCGTTGCTTCCGAAGTAAGGCTTTCGCTCCTGTATATTTGTGTGAAACCCTCTTACCCACTCAGAGGGTCCTTCAGCAATGACGGAGGCAGAGGCAGAGGCAGAGGCGAGGGAAAAAGCTTACTTTATATGGTTCATCAAGATATATACCATACCATTTGCAAAGCAATTATCTTACGGATCCTATTTTTGGAATGTAAAGGGTCTTCTCCAGTATCTTTACATACATTGTGTCCCGTTGTATCTATCGATTCAACAAACCTTAGCTCCGGCGATCTTGAATCTGCAAAACCCATGGCGTCTTCACCTGGTAACACTAACCCTTACCCTCCTCCGTTCGATGTCAGTAATTTCATCAAACCCTCTCCAAACCCTTATCCTACGCCCCCGGCTTCTTATCCTCCACCCGCCGGACCTTTCCTTCACAACCAGTACCACCAGCAGCTCTATATGCCTCCCGGAATCTCCGGTCAACCATCTCCGGCGTCCTCCGCGGCGACTCAGACGCAACAAGAGCCGCCTCCGGCTTCCTCCTCGTCCGCTGCTAACCTGCACCCGCAGAGATCGCTTTCGTATCCTACTCCACCTCTCAACCTTCAATCGCCTCAAGCGAACCACAACCCTGGTACGCAAATCCTCGCTCTCCTCAACAATAACAATGGGGGAAGCGGCAACAACGGCGCCACGGCCAATCAAGATCCGTCGCTTCTACTGTCGGGACTGCATCCACACGAGATTGCACGGCCGTTCCCGGGTGGTTCGGTTCCAGTCCGTGCCCAGAGCCGCAAGATGCCCAAAGGAAGGCGCTTGGTCGGTGAACATGCTGTGTACGATGTGGACGTGAGATTGCAGGGAGAGATTCAACCGCAACTCGAGGTGACTCCGATTACCAAATACGGGTCGGATCCCCAGCTCGTAGTGGGTCGACAAATCGCTGTGAATAAGGTCTATATATGCTACGGTCTGAAGGGAGGGAACATTCGGGTTCTCAACATAAACACCGCATTGAGATCTTTGTTCCGAGGCCATACTCAGGTTGTTCTTCTTATCCTTTCTCCAGCCTATTTACGTAGGTCTGGTTGGAACTTGAGCTTATATTTACTCAAATAAGAGACACTCTTCTGTACGTGAGTGTGGTAATTTGTAAGTTTGCTTCAAAGACTGGATTTACTTATTGAAGTAGCCATCTAGTTGATGTTGTCATTTCTTTGATCAGTTTCCCTGTTTTCGACCCATCTAGTTTAACAATCTTGATTCACACTATTCTCATTTTTAATGTTTGGTTGCATTTTTCAATCATGTATTCCCTCCAATTTTCTAACTGTATCTTTTGTCCAGAGAGTAACGGACATGGCATTCTTTGCTGAGGATGTCCACCTGTTGGCTAGGTAGTCTTCTACAACTCTAACCAGTAGCTTCGACATTTTGTTTGAGCTTTGTCTCCATATCACAGTTAAAGCCAAAATCTTGGAACAGTCAAGGTACCTGAAGTAGCTGTGCCATAAGACCAGAATCGCGTTGAAGATGTTGCTGGAAAGCTGCAGGGTTAACAGCTGACCCATCGGGGTTCAAGCGTAAGTCATTTCCAGCCGCGCTGAGGGAGCAGCAGAGAAGACAATTGTTGAAAACTAAATTTAACAAATTCACAAGACCTAAGTGTAGATACTGTGAAAAAGTTTTACTTATAAAACCCCAAAGAGAAAGAAGCAAGACGGCAATTAAACAACTTACCCAGATGAGGCACTGGAAATCATCATCAATAAATCCTCGTCCTTAACACCCAAGGCACTCAATTTCTCAGAATTTCGAGTTTCCTTACCATTAAACAACAGCTGTTGCTGCTGAAGCGGAACATTTGTCTGCTCATTGATGCAAAAACACAAAGTCACCACAAAATAGTACATAAGATGCTAGATAAACCCCCAAAACCCTAAACCCCCCACAGTAGATTTCAGTAGAATTCAACTCAAATTCAGCTCCAGCATACTTTGACTCGGCACCAAACTAAAGAATTCGAACAAAAATCTCGAGAAGAGTGATACGGAATCCCTTACCTCAACCTCGAGCAGCGCCTTAACATTTTCAACCTAAGCCAAGAAATCCCCAGAATCAGCACAAAGAGAAGACATGGAAACATCGACAAATCGGAGAGAATGGTGAAATCAGACAATCCTCATCGAACAACTCGAGAGGTACATTGTGATTACGAACCGAAGTCAGGAAAACTAGGGTTATGTCAGAAGAAATCTTACAGTCTCATGGGGATCAACATCTAATGAGATGATCTGTTCATCGACCGTCATTACAGCGATCCTCATCTTCTATTCGTCTTTCCGATCTCCTCAGTCGTCCTGCTATGGTCAGGAATCTCCGTTGCTTCCGAAGTAAGGCTTTCGCTCCTGTATATTTGTGTGAAACCCTCTTACCCACTCAGAGGGTCCTTCAGCAATGACGGAGGCAGAGGCAGAGGCAGAGGCGAGGGAAAAAGCTTACTTTATATGGTTCATCAAGATATATACCATACCATTTGCAAAGCAATTATCTTACGGATCCTATTTTTGGAATGTAAAGGGTCTTCTCCAGTATCTTTACATACATTGTGTCCCGTTGTATCTATCGATTCAACAAACCTTAGCTCCGGCGATCTTGAATCTGCAAAACCCATGGCGTCTTCACCTGGTAACACTAACCCTTACCCTCCTCCGTTCGATGTCAGTAATTTCATCAAACCCTCTCCAAACCCTTATCCTACGCCCCCGGCTTCTTATCCTCCACCCGCCGGACCTTTCCTTCACAACCAGTACCACCAGCAGCTCTATATGCCTCCCGGAATCTCCGGTCAACCATCTCCGGCGTCCTCCGCGGCGACTCAGACGCAACAAGAGCCGCCTCCGGCTTCCTCCTCGTCCGCTGCTAACCTGCACCCGCAGAGATCGCTTTCGTATCCTACTCCACCTCTCAACCTTCAATCGCCTCAAGCGAACCACAACCCTGGTACGCAAATCCTCGCTCTCCTCAACAATAACAATGGGGGAAGCGGCAACAACGGCGCCACGGCCAATCAAGATCCGTCGCTTCTACTGTCGGGACTGCATCCACACGAGATTGCACGGCCGTTCCCGGGTGGTTCGGTTCCAGTCCGTGCCCAGAGCCGCAAGATGCCCAAAGGAAGGCGCTTGGTCGGTGAACATGCTGTGTACGATGTGGACGTGAGATTGCAGGGAGAGATTCAACCGCAACTCGAGGTGACTCCGATTACCAAATACGGGTCGGATCCCCAGCTCGTAGTGGGTCGACAAATCGCTGTGAATAAGGTCTATATATGCTACGGTCTGAAGGGAGGGAACATTCGGGTTCTCAACATAAACACCGCATTGAGATCTTTGTTCCGAGGCCATACTCAGGTTGTTCTTCTTATCCTTTCTCCAGCCTATTTACGTAGGTCTGGTTGGAACTTGAGCTTATATTTACTCAAATAAGAGACACTCTTCTGTACGTGAGTGTGGTAATTTGTAAGTTTGCTTCAAAGACTGGATTTACTTATTGAAGTAGCCATCTAGTTGATGTTGTCATTTCTTTGATCAGTTTCCCTGTTTTCGACCCATCTAGTTTAACAATCTTGATTCACACTATTCTCATTTTTAATGTTTGGTTGCATTTTTCAATCATGTATTCCCTCCAATTTTCTAACTGTATCTTTTGTCCAGAGAGTAACGGACATGGCATTCTTTGCTGAGGATGTCCACCTGTTGGCTAGGTAGTCTTCTACAACTCTAACCAGTAGCTTCGACATTTTGTTTGAGCTTTGTCTCATTGTCTACTTTTTCTTTTATTCTGAACAGCGTTAGCCTAGAGGGAAAAGTTTTTGTATGGAAAATTTCTGAGGGGTCAGAAGGAGAGGATCAACCCCAGATTACCGGAGGAATAGTTCTTGCTGTTCAAATACTAGGGGAGGAGGATGCAAAGCATCCACGTGTGTGTTGGCACTGTCACAAACAGGTGATGCAGTAACTTTCTTTTGCAATGCTTGATTTTTTTCCCCCAAAGAATATATATCCGAGCGTTCCTTTACAAGTTTCTCTGACGTATCTATGTTTTCTGCTTGCTTAAAAATACATCTTTTAAAAGGAAATTTTGGTGGTTTCAATTGGAAAACATTTATTGCGGATTGATACTACCAAAGTTGGCAAAGGTGTAGTGCATTCGGCAGAGGCACCTCTTCAGTGTCCCCTTGATAAGCTGATTGATGGCATCCAGCTTGTTGGCAAACATGATGGAGAAATTACGGATTTGTCAATGTCCCAGTGGATGAAAACTCGCTTGGTTTCTTCTTCAGTGGATGGCATGGTTTGTATTTGTTTGCATCATTTTGTAAATAGTTTCCATGATATGCGTTTGAATGCTTTTTTTTCTGGAAATTGAAACCAATCTAATTCTGCGCTCTATATTTGCTTGTTCCCCCAGTTTGCTGGAATCTATAAGCCTGTTCAGAATGACTGTGATTTTCCTGCAGAATGTCATGTTTATTTTGTTTAGTTGTTGAAAGAGTGCATGTTCTGTTAGATCTTCTTTGCATTCTCTTTTGAAATGATGAAAAGAAAATGCAGCTTCTGTGATTGTACAGGTCTTCAGCCAAAGCTTTTTTTGGGTCTGCTAGTGCATCTTGCCTTTAACTAAATATCTGTAACTGGGAAAATCGATTAGCATATTTCTTGTTCATCTGTAGTTATGCTTTCCAGTATGCATTGTATCTCATATCATTTTTTTAAACTACACATTTTGCGTGAGTTTGGCTTTTGTACATACATGATGGATATGCTAACCCTGTGCACCCAAATTCTCCCTACAGATTAAGATATGGGAAGACCGTAAAGCACAACCACTTGCAGTTTTAAGGCCACATGATGGCCATCCGGTCAATTCAGCCACATTCATGACAGCTCCTGAGAGACCTGATCACATCATACTTATCACAGGGGTAATTTCTTAAAGTGTTCTAGTTAACTTTTCCTGGCTTTATCAGGTGTTAAAGGCTCACTCATTTCTCTTTCGCTTTTTAAATCCTACCTTTCTCTTTTGCTTTACTCTGAGAGTTTATAACTCTTTTTTCCCATAGGGTTCTCTAAATCGAGAAATGAAAATCTGGGTCTCAGATGGTGAAGAAGGGTGGCTCATACCTACTGATGCTGAATCATGGAAGTGCACCCAGACACTTGACCTACAGAGTTCAGCTGCGCCACGAGCTGAAGAGGTGTTTTTCAACCAAGTTATAGCATTGTCTCAAGCTGGCCTGCTTTTACTTGCAAATGCAAAAAGGAACGCCATTTATGTTGTGCACTTGGGCTATGGTTCTTGTCCAGTTGAGACAAGGATGGATTACTTGGCAGAATTTACAGTCACTATGCCTATATTGAGTTTTACAGGGACAGATGATCCTCCTGAAGAGCACATTGTTAAGGTTTACTGTGTTCAGACTCAAGCTATCCAACAATATACTTTAGACTTATGCCAGTGCCTGCCACCTCCTGTAGAGAACGTGGGTCTGGAGAAGTCAGATTCAAGTGTCTCACGGGAGTTGAATCCTGCTGGAGGCACGTCAGATGCATCTGGACAGAAGCCTACCGAAATACCTCCAGCTGACTTGATGCCCAAACAATCTGTTCAAGTAGGTAGATCGGAAAGTGCAAATGCCATTAGGTTTTCAGGGAGCTCTGCTTCAATTGAAACCACAGCACAAGAAGTTGCTCCGACCAATGGTGAACCTAAAACTTCTGGCCTGGTATCTGCAACCAGTGATACTGATATTAGGTATGCTCCTTCTCCACCACTTCCTCTTAGTCCTAGGTTGTCCCGGAAACGTTCTGGTTGTCATGCTCCAGGAAATACCTTTGAGTCAGCAGTACCTCAGGTTGATCTCGGTGGTAAACCACCAGCCACTGATTATTCTGTTGACAGTCAAATGGAGGCTAATGTGTCCTCTGCTGATGATGGCTCGAGGAGGAATGATGACAAAGTCACACACGATGATGCATTTGTAATTCGAAACCAACCGGTTGTTTTCAAACATCCCACTCATCTTGTAACTCCTTCGGAGATATTGATGGGTGTTTCATCTGCTGAAGCTACCAGTATTACTGAGGGCAAGAGAGATAGAGATGCAAATGTTCAGGATGTTGTGAATACTGATGTGGGAAGCGCAGAGGTGGATGTTGAAGAAGCAGGTGAAGGGAGATCATCTCAGAATGACGAAGTTAACTATCAGGAAGAAACTGAGAACCGTATTTCAGAAAACATAGAAAAAATATTCTGCTCCCAGGCCTCAAATCTCAGCACTGAAATGGCAAGAGACCGTCATGCTGTTATGGAGGAGAGTTATGTTCCTGAGGAATCACAAACACGTGGCCAATCTTCAGAAGCTGGGGAGGAAGGAGGACGTGATGCAAGAAGCGCATCTGGAAAATTTCCTGAGGCTTCACCATCTGCGCTGCCAAAGCCATCAGCTTCAAATAACAAAGGGAAGAAACAGAAGGGTAAAAGTTCACACGGTTCCAGTTTGTTGTCTACATCGTCAAATGCTACCAGTCTGGCAGACTCTTATAATGAAGGTCAGAACTCAAGTCTTCCAACTATAGAGTCACTACTGCCTCAGCTCCTAGTTATGCAAGAGACAATGAATCAGGTGGCTTGTTGATCCCTGAACTCAAATACAGCTTTGTTTTTTATTTTTTATATATAATATTTCCTTCCCTGTGAAGGTTTAACCCAGATTTGATGTTGCCTTTTGTGCTTTCAATTTAGCTAGTTTTATGCAGGCCCCTAGCCTTTGTTTCTTAGAACATATCCCATCAAAGTTTGATTTTTATGGTTTCCTTCCAGCTAATGTCTTCACAGAAGGAGATGCAGAGACAACTATTGAATGCTGTCAATGGTCCTATCAGTAAAGAAGGTAAAAGACTAGAAGTGGCTTTAGGAAGAATGATCGAGAAAGTCACCAAGGCGAACGCTGATGCTTTATGGGCTCGTTTTCAAGAGGAGGCAGCTAAAAATGAAAAAAGAGTGCGTGATCACACACAGCAAATAGTAAATGCAATGACGAACTTCATGAACAAAGAATTGAATGATGTGTTTGAGAAAGTGGTAAAGAAAGAATTTGCTGCAATAGGACCTGCTATAGTTCGTGCAGTAACACCAGCTATTGAGAAAACAACATTGTCAGCCATCACTGAGTCCTTCCAGGTCAGAGTTCTGAATATCTAAGACACTGTGAGAAAGTCACATGGTTGTGAAATATAACATGCTATTTTGCTATGCAGAGAGGAATCAGTGATAAAGCAATCAATCAACTCGACAAATCTGTTAATTCAAAGCTTGAAGCTACCATAGCCAGACAAATTCAAGCTCAATTTCAGACATCTGGCAGGCAAGCCCTCCAGGTTCGCGTGAGTTGAACCTAGTATGATTAATTTGTTATAGAGAGTATCTACAAGGTTTATGTACTGTACATAAGCATTCACTCTGAGCTACGCCACTAGTTATTGTTGTCCAGTTCAGAGAAAGCCGATCTCTTAGCAATATGTCTCTTTCTTTCAGGAGGCTCTCAGGTTCAGTCTGGAAGCTTCGATTATCCCTGCCTTTGAGATGTCATGCAAGAACATGTTTGAGCAAGTAGATTCTACTTTCCAGAAAGGGTTTGGTGAGCACACAGGTGCTGCCCAGCAACAGTTTGAATCAGCACATTCTCGGCTCGCGCACACTTTAAGGGTATGCAATTTTGATGGCATGAAAATTTCAGATTGCCATCACCCCCTCCTGTTGTTTAATCAAAAAAAATACTTTTGGGGTTCTTTCCAATATCATACTGCCCGTTTTACAGGAAACCATTAATTCTGCTTCCTCAGTAGCACAAACCTTAAATTGTGAACTAGCCGATGGTCAGAGGAAACTTATAGCTCTTGCAGCTGCTGGAGCTAACCCGGGTGCAACAAATGCCTTGGTTACTCAACTAAGCAACGGACCTTCGGGTGCCCTCCTTGAAAAGGTCTTGCACCTTTTCTGGGAACAAAGTCATTTGATATTTTTCTTTTTCTTTTTCTTTTCTTTTTTTTGACAAGAGCTTGTGTGGATCATGAATGCCGTTTCAGGTTGAGGCACCTCTGGACCCAACTACAGAATTATCTCGGATGGTATCAGAGCGCAAATACGAGGAAGCTTTCACATCTGCTCTACAAAGGAGTGATGTCTCTATTGTCTCCTGGCTATGCTCACAGGTGAAACATACAAACACATAAATAACTCTGTCTTAGTAACTTGGTCTTAGTAACTATGCGGACGGGTACCGTATTTTTGGATACTCGATCTCAATCTTGTCCTCGCGGGTTTTCTGGGTATAATCTCGGTCTTAGTCTTGCGAGATCCGGGTGTCACGGCCTATCTGCGGCTGAAGTTGGATACCAGTACCAAACCTGTGAAAAATTTCTGGAATTTCGTTGACTTACGTTGACTTCAGGGGTAAAATTGTGTCTAGGTGTTTGTTGTAATACATTAAAATAGTAGGGTCATAAACGTAATTTTATTCATATCCGGTACCCGCAAGATATCATGTCATGCTTCGGGAAAACCCGAACCCACGGTCCGGGTTTCTAGCCTCGTCCGTTCGTGACAAGTACCGGTGACCTGAGTACCTACTACCTGCGAGACCGGGTACCCAGAAACATGCAGGTCTCGGGTAAAAACGGCCACCCCTACTCCACACAGACTTGGATGGATCTAAAGAATCAATGAAGTGATCTTATTCATCGATCTAACCTTCTCTCCCGAGAGACAATTCCTTAACTAGTTTGCGAAATCCAGGTGGATCTTCATGGGCTACTGGCAATGGTGACGATTCCGCTGAGCCAAGGGGTGCTTCTGTCACTTATGCAGCAGCTGGCGTGCGACATCAATAATGACACTTCCCGGAAGCTGAGTTGGATGACGGATGTTGCTGCGGTCATAAACCCAGGAGATCAGACGATAGCGGTTCACGCCCGTCCTATCCTCGAACAGGTGTACCAGATCCTCCACCACCACCGCTCCACACCTGGCTTGACCGGAGCTGACCTATCCTCCATCCGCCTAGTAATGCACGTCATCAACTCCATGCTCATGAGCTGTAAATAAATGATTATGGTAATTACGTCTGCTGCCCTTTTCTCATCGTTCATATACGTACTTTGGTGTCTCTCTCATCATGTCTGAAGCAACCAACCTTTGGTTGTCTGGTAAATGGTCAGGTGGATTAAAACATAGGAGTATACGGTCTTTCTCTTCTCTGTATTTGTATTCGTTAGATTTTGATTCTCTTTCTTGTCATTTTGTTTTGGTTAAATGTAAAATCTGATGGGGTCTCACAGAGATGTTTATCATTTTCTACCATTTCCTTTTTCCAAGTCATAAATCTTTTGGAATTAAACGCACCGTTTTGTGTATCATTGGGAGGCACTAGACGCCTTCAGATAAGCAGGAAGTAACTATGTGGACTGTTATGGTATTTCTTACCTCGGTCAAAATATTTTTACACAGTAACAAATGTGGAAACTTTATAGGCTGGATGATAAAATACCCCAACTGAAATACCCGTTTGTCATACAAGCTCTATTCTTTTCCCTTTTCTTAATTGCAAAAATCTTCAACCTTAATTCTTTTTCTTTCAGCTTCTCATACGTATATACCCAGAGAGTTTAAAGTGAATAATCAGAATATGAGATGAACATATATAAAACCAAAAGAAGATATATATATATATATATAGTAGCTCTCTGTATTTACAAAAACTCTTCTACAACTCTACATAAAAAGCTGCAGAATTGAGAACTCTAATTCTCCATTAATTTTCGAGATTAATTACGAGGAATAAAGTTTACCCTAGAAAAAAAAACAGCGGCTATTTTTTGTTTGCTGCAAAAAATCACCTAAAACGCTACCAACACTGATCCGTTTCCCATCTCCGCGTCGTGT